CCTCCTAGAAGCACTTGAATTGTTAAAGAGCATATAAAAGTCAAAGTGTGGGGTAGTAATGGAGTGGGAAAAGGAAAAGCAGGAAAATACTTGAATATTGCAATGGCTGTTAAAAAAAATATAAAAAAAGAAAAGAAAAAAAAGAGGCCAGTTGCACCTAAAGAAAAGTGGGGGTAGCATATGAAACAAGTGTGGAAGAATGATTGGGTTGAACATGGCAATTGGAATAAAGGGAACGATTGAATTAAAAGTGCTTAGGGATGTTAGTCACTATATCCAAATATATCCGACCCATCCCTTAGCCTACATTATAACCAAATAAAGACCTCTTAATCTTGGACTGAACAACTCGATTAGTAGCGTATTACACTAAGGGAAAGCTTATGGTGTATCTGTGTGGCATGTGAATGTTCTTTGCTGAGAGTGAGTGGATTCATTCTATCTATAGTTCCTTGTTGCTTGATTTTATGTGTGTGGAACTTCTCTCAGAAATGTGATGTGAGGGCATGTGACTCAGGAAGAAAAAGCAAGTTTTCACCTCTATTTAGAGTAACTAGAGTAAGCACGAGTGTGGCATGGCATTAGAGTCTTCATCTGAGGTGTGGCTGTTGCACTACTTAGATTGTTCTTTCATAATGGCAGGTGTGACATAAACTGGGTAATTCATCGAACGATTAGGCCTAGAAGTGTGGTTCAACTTGCTCGAGGACGAGCAAAGATTTAAGTGTGGGGTGTTGATAATAGGTGAATTCGACTATAATTAGGCCCTAAAGAACCACCTTTTTTTATAGTTTTTATAGTAAAAACTGATAACAAAATGCTCTGATTAGTGCTTTTCATGCTTTGTAGGCTATATACAATAAAAGAAGTCTATGGAGTACTTTTGGGATCAATTACAGAGAAAAAGAGGCCAATCTTACAATATTCGCTAAGTGCACCACGCGAAGGCAGCAAAACCAGAACTGGATATGGACTGCCGCGGTCCCGGCGTAACCGCGATCAGACCGCGGCAGAAGGCTGTTGCGGATTTTGAGAGGCTAGTTGGCCGCGGTCCTGGCGTAACCGCGGTAGGACCGCGATAGGAAGCGGAAAATTGAGGGACTGAAGTGCAAAACACGGGATTTTTAGCCCAAAACCCTATATTAAACAATAGAACTCGCCCAAGGGAGGCATGTAATGTTTTAGAGAGTACTTTGGCAAGGAAAACAAGTGTGAGAGATCACCTAAAACATCATAATTTCTTCTTCTCTTTATTTTTCTGGCAATTTTGATCATGAATATTTTCATAGTTTATTTACCCATTGTCATGAGTAGCTAAATCCTTTGTCTAGGGTTTTGATGGAACCTATTGAAGGATGAACTTCTTGATTATGTTAATATAGTTTGCTAGTTTAATCTCTATTTGTTCAACTACGTGTTTGTTGTAGTTAATTGACAGGATCCTCAATTAGCTGTGCCTATTTAGTATGCATAACTCGGGAGAGAGTGCATATTTAGGTAATTGTTGAACAACATCACTCCCAAAGTATAAGAGGGATCTATAACTGCGGGTTTAAAGGCGGGATTAGGGATAACGAAGTCTTGGGTGCAATCTAAAGTGAACTGTAATAAACAAAGCCAGCTAGCGTATCTCGGGAGAGTGCGTCTAGTATATTATCGTGATTACTCGGGAGAGATTCACGGTAAAAAGAGTGTTCATGATTGATAGAGATGTGTTGGTAAATCTATATGAAACATAAACAGAAGGGATTCCATCAATAAGGGAAATCAGTACCTTAGAACCTTCTCATTAGTGTTCACAACTTAAGCATATTTAGTTTACAACTGTTTATTGACTTTCAATCTTAGTTATTAAATATACCATCAACTGTTATTCACAACGTTTGGGGAAGTTGATTCTAAAGAATTTAGTAAGTCCAACGAAAGTAATTGATAGGTTAATTCTCCGTGGATTCGACTCTGGGCATAAATACTCAGGTTATATTTGCAACGTCCGCATTGTCCTTTTATAAGACATAGTTGGGCGTGATCATAAGTGCCTCTCTAACTGGTGATGAAGAGAGCAAATATATCGAGCTACTTAAGGAGTTCAAAGACGTTGCTTGGAGTTACAAAGATATGCCAGGTTTAGACCCTAGAGTTGTTGTTCATCATCTTGCTGTCAAATGAGGTACTCGTCCTATAAGCATAACATTGCTTCAGACCTGAACTAGTTTCCTTGATTGAAACTGAAGTTAATAAGCTTATTGAGGCTGGTTTCATTCGTGAAGTTGAGTAACCTACATGAATTTCAAGCATCGTCCTTGTAAGAAAGAAGAATGGCCAATTCCAAGCTTTTATTGACTTTAGTAATGCTTGTCCTAAGGATGAATTTCCTCTTTCCATCCCAGATCTCATAATTGATGTCGCGGCTGGATATGAGGCGATGTCTTCCATGGATGTCTTGTCTGGATATAATCAAATTCGTATGGCACTAAATGATGAAGAACTTACCGCCTTTCACATGCAAAAGGTATATACTTCTATAAGGTAATGCCTTTTGGTTTGAAAAATACTAGTACTACATAACAATGTTCCATGAAAAATATTTTTGGTGACATGCTTCATAAAAATGTGGAGTATTATGTTGACGACTTTGTGGTAAAGTCAAGGAAGAGAGCTAATCACTTACAAGATTTGAGGATGGTATTCGTACGACATTGGAGATACCAACTCAGAATGAATCCGTTAAAGTGCGCCTTTGGAGTTGCTTCTCGAAAGTACCTCAATTTTATTGTTCGACATCGAGATATCTAAATTGATCAAGCTAAGGTGGATGCTATCTTGAAAAGGCCCGAACCTAAGGATGTTCATGAATTAAAAAGCTTACAAGGAAAGTCGACATATCTTAGAAGATTTATTTCGAATCTAGCTAGAAGATGCCAACTGTTTAGTCGCCTCATCAAGAAAGGGGTTCCTTTTGAATGGGACCAAGCTTGTGGAAATGCTTTTGAAAGCATTAAGTTCTATATGATGAAGCCTCTAATTGTAACGATCTGACCGGTCGTTACTTATTTTTTAGCCTCGCTCCCCTATTTATTTCCTCTTCTATGTTTATGTTTGGTTATGTGACTTGCCGAAGTAGTTGGATTGATTTCGGAGAATATTTGGAGTGAATTGGGACTTTTTTTTAAGCAATCCATTAGGCAGGGCCTAGGGCTAGTTTTTATTTATATAATAAAATGAAAGAAAAAATAAGTGTCATGACATCCTAAAATATGAAAAACATAAACTTTGAACTTTACATAGAGCATATTATCAAAATTGAGCAAGATGCTCAAAACTGATATCACATAAGATCTAATATACTTTATGAAAATAAAAACTAGCCAAATTTCATGTATAGATATGTCCAGATCCGCATTGCATCTCTTGTCCATAAAAGCCCATTTATCTTGCTTTATACCGCTTTGATTAGCCTGCTTCTTACACAAATAGTCCATTTCCATTGTAACTCCAGCATATTTCCACTCATTGCATAAATAGCCCTGTTTAGTGTTGATTTTTGTTGATTGTCAATATAGCCCATTTCCTTTTGCAATTGTAGCATTGTCCCTTTACTGTGAATTTGAAGTATCCTTCCTTGATCTTGTAATGCCCTTCTTGTTGCCACTCCATTCCAACTATACATGATGTTCATCCAGTAATAGTTGTACAAGAAGAAGTATAATGACCCCTTCATGTATTTGTCAACTATCACTGTCCAACATTTGGTCTTTCTGTTGTTGTTGCTCTTCTTTTTGCATGTTATGTTGTTGCACCTCATTGAATTTCTTATGTGAATGCCATCCTTGGTTATCCTTCTACTATGCTGCATTGAGATATACCCACAGATTGGGTCGAGTGTGTCCAGATTCTCATGCCAAATATGCCATCTCGATTGTCCTGTTCTGCCTTGTTGCATGTTGTTGTTGAGTGACATTTCATTTGTAATCCCTTCGATTCTTAATAGAACCTTTGCATGGTCTATCTTATGAGTTATCAAGTTCAAGAATTGCATCGAATTATTGCACCTCAACGTAGTCATTTTTACCCAAAAGTTTAGCCAAAACTTGTCACTCATCACTGCATGAACATGGGCATATTAATTGCCCCTTCCTTTGTAAGCTGCTATGCTTGTGCTTAGCCATGATTCCCCTTCATCGGAATGAGTACTGCGTACTAACTAGATGAAGGTTCTCAATAGATAAGGCATAGCCACAGTAATGTCACCTAAAAAAAGCAAACTAAGTTAGTGAAAAAATTCATCCCCTTGTTCTCTTCCCTAAGGATTTGAACATGGTAGATGACTGAGTTTTCTTCCTCAAACCAGCTGCCTTCTTTGATATTGATTGCATGACTCTCTGTATATTCCCATGTGTTTTCATTCCAAGATAGCGTATCTCCACTCTCATGATTGCATTGTCCCCCCATGCACCAGTGTTGTACAAATCCATACCAACCTTTATCAATGACCTGTGTGGGGGGTTTCCACTTATTATCCAATTAAATTGTTATGGATCTTGTTTCTTGTATCCTTAAGGTATCACACTGATATTGTCTCTCATTCCTTAGTACACATGTTCTTTTAAGATTCAATTGCCTATAGGTACTACAAAAAGCACAAAGTCTGTGCGCTAAAGTATCCTCCAGCATGTTCTTCCTTTATGGTATGCTTGTGCCTATCTTCAAATCCCTCCCATTAGAATGAGTACTATGTACTAGTACCACCAATTGGGAGTTCATTAAAGAGTAGGGAATGTGTACAGTAGCTTTTCCTGTAAAATAGAAAACAATGTTAGCGAAAACTTTGATCAACATATCCTCCTCCTTTAGGATTTGAATATGCTGAACTAGCAATAACTCCTGTCTTATGCCTATTCTAATCTCCTCAAGCTTTAATTTTTGGCAACCTTTACCCTCAAATATGGACATTGTAGCTTATCCTTATTCAGTATTCTCCTCCCTTGTGTGTCTAGATGCTAGAAATCTTGACAGACTATATTCCCATGATCAAGAGCATAATTGGCACGGTGATCAGTCAACTTATTTCCTTCTCTATAAATATGTGATACTACATAATTATCTTCATTCAACAGCTGCATAATCTCCTCAATCTGTTCTACTATACACCAAGGTGGCTTCCACGATCCCTCCATAATCTTCTTCATAAGCATCGAGTCAGTTTGAACATACACTTGAGGGTAGAGCTGCATTCTGCAGAATTTTAGTGCTTCTACAATAGCCACAGCTTCTGCTTCAGTATTTGTTGCCTCATTTATCTCCTTCCCTTCAGCAAACACAATGTCTTCATATTCATCCCTTACACAAAATCCAATTGTACTCCTGCCAGGATTTCCCCTCGAGGCATCATCTGTGTTCACCTTAATCCAGCCTTCTTCTGGTATTTCCCAAACTACTTTTGTGACCTTTAATCTAGGTGTATAATTCTCCATCATTACTAAGAGCTCATGCCATTTATGTGGGACATTATGTATTCCTCTAGCTTCCTTACTTTCACAAGTGCTTGTAGGGTCGATGACACTTGATATATCACACGACTAGTTGAGATAGAGTTCCTATATTTTATGTTATTCCTTCTCTTCCATAATTCCCAAACTACACATGAAGGCAATGCTTGCATAATAGGCTTGAGTCTATCACATGCCTTGGCAGTCCAACATTTGGTGATATCATGATGCATTGTCAATCCCTGTACATTTATACCTGCCCTCGGAAGGAAGTATCTGCATACCATTCTAGCTATCTCTGAGTTGAAGAACAAATACTGAAGAGTTTCTTCCTTTGGTTGAGTGCATCACCAGCATTTGGAGGTCATGAAATAGCCTAGTCTCCTCATGAAGTCATCTAGGGGAAGTTTGCCTTCCAAACTTTCCACATGAAGAAGGAAATTGTGAATGGCAATCCCTTCACCCAAATCATCTTGTAAGCCACTCTTGGTTCATTTTTCCTCCGCAAATAATCCCAAGTTGTCCTCACACTAAAAAATCCTCGAGGTTCAAGCATCCAGTATGGCACATCAAGTACATTTTGCATCGCAGGTGGCTTGATCTTTTCAATAATGTGTAATGCATATTCTTCAGGTAAAATCTCCAGTAGCTTGTCAATATTCCATGATCATTCCTCAACCACATCATAAACATTGTGTATTGATTCATCTACCACAAAGCCTTGTGGAACCATAAAATATAATGCTCCAAGGCCTGTCCAATTATTAAACCAGAATAAAGAGGACCCCATCTTTGGATGCCAAGCTATTTGGTGCTATATTAAATCCCTGCATTCTAGCATTTTTCTCCATATGTGAGATCCTCTTCTCCATGGGACAACAACTGAATTTAGTTTTTTGCAGTATTTTTGGCTCATAAATGAGCTCCACAGAGAAGGCTTCGTACGATAGTTCCACCATAATTTTGAGAACAAAGCCTTCGAAACATCATGCAATGATCTGAAACCAATCCCCCCTTCCTCAACAGGCATACATAAAGTGTTCCATGATGCCCAATGTCTATTACTACCCCCTACTGAGCTGCTCCAAAATAACTGTGCAAATATTTTGTGAAGTTTATTTATAACAGAGTTCGGATGATTGACTACTGATAGTAAATGCATAGGCATGCTATGTAGAACATGAGAAACCAAAACTGCTCTGCCTCCAATAGACAGCATCTTCCCTTTCCATCCCTGCAGTTTGTCCATAACCTTCGTGATCAACCCTTGATAGTAATCCATTTTTCTTCTAGAATAGAAGATAAGGCATCCTAGGTACATAATTGGGAAGTCTTGCCTTTTGATTCCTGTAATTCTCTGTACTTTATTAGCTACTTCAATATCTGACAGATGATGCAAGTATACTGCAGAGTTGTCCTTGCTCACTAATTGTCCAGAAGCAGTCTCATATTTATTCAACACTTCCATTATTAGACTCAATGAAATTGCATTTGAAGATTAAAATATGATCGTATCATCCGCACAAGCTAAATGATTGATTTTTGGAATCCACTTGGGTAAACCAAATCCACAGAAATATAAATTTAAATGTAAAGCATTTAGACCCCTCGACAATGCTTCTGCAGCTATGATGAACAATGTAGAAGATAGTAGATCTCCTTTTTTGACTCCCCTCGATGACTTGAAGAAACCCCATGTTTGGCCATTAATAAGAACTGAATACCAGTTATTTGATACTATCCCAAACACCATGCTAATGAATCTCTCTAAGAATCCCATTTTTCTAAGAACTTTGGTCAGAAATAACCAAGTCAACCTGTCATACGCCTTAGTCATGTCGAGCTTCATCACAACATTTGGTCCAGCCTTGGTTCTTAATCTTATATCCTTAATGATCTCTTGTGTTAGCAAAATATTTTCCATAATGCTCCCCCTTTCACAAAGCCAGCTTGCTCTTCATATATAATATTAGGCAGTAACCCCACTAGTCTCTCATGAATCACCCTCGAGATTACTTTGTTGGAGAAATTACTAAGGCTTATTGGCCTTAAATCTGAAAATGTTGTCACCTCCTTTTTCTTTGGCAGCAATACTAGATTTGTGTGAGTCACTCATTTTGGTAGTTCATGACCATTAAAGAATGTTCTGACCATATCAGCTAAATCATCTCTTTTTATGTCCCAACACAACTAGTAGAATTTGCATGTGTAGCCATCTGGTCCTCCTGTACTATCTGCATTTAAACCATGCACTGCCATTTTGACCTCTTTTTTTGTTGATTGCCTTATTAGTTCTGAGTTCTCCTCCATATCTATCAGTTCTGAATTGGGACACTTAGTCCCAAGGTTGAAGTCTTAAGTTGAAGGAATTGACCGGAGTTTGAATTTTGTATAGGCGACTCCGGAATAGAGTTTTGATGGTTATAATAGCTTCGTATGTTGATTTCGGACTTAGGCATATGTCCGGATATTGATTTGGAGGTCCGTCGGTCGTTTTGGCTTGAATTGGCAAAGTTGAAAAGTTGAAGATTTTGAAGGTTTAGGGGTCAACCGAGAGTTGACTTTGTTAATATCGAGTTCAGATTTCATTTAGGACTTGCTTGCAAAATTTGAGGTCATTCGGAGTTGATTTGACAAGGTTCAGCATTGGTTTCTTAGGCTTGAATTGGGGTGCAATTTGTGAATTCAATATTGTTTGATGTGATTTGATGATTCGAGTAAGTTCATATGATGTTTTAGGACTTGTTAGTATGTTTGGATGGGGCCCCAGGGGTGTTTCGTATGGTTATCAAATTCATTTTGGACTTAGAAGAACTGCTAAATTTGTGCTTTTGGTTTCCTTCTTTGCGACCACGAATAGTAGGTCGTGATTGCGTGAGTTATTGTGGGCAGGTGAGCATTTATTCTTCGCGTTCACAAAGAGTTGGACGTGTTCGCGTAGAAGGAAGGGAGGGCCTAAGGAAGTCACATGTTTTTCATCGCGATCGCGTGGTCAGGTCCGCGATCGCATAACTTATGGGTATTGGGCATCACGTTTGTGATGAAGCTGTCGCGATCGTGAAAGAGGTTTGAGCAGCTGGTGAACTTTGTTCTTCACGATCAAGAAAGGCTTTACGCGATCGCGAAAAGTAAACACCTGGCCAGAATATTTAAAATTTCATTTCGAGGGTTACAGTTATTATATCATGTTTTGAATTAGAGAGCTCGGTTTTTGGAGATTTCGGAGGGAATTTTCATGATTTGGATCGGATAAGTTTTTTTGACTCAAATTTGTTATTATTTCACGATTCTATCTTTGTTTTTGGTATTTAATTGGTGAATTAAAGTGAAGAAATGAGGGAATTTAGTAAAAACTTCCTAAAGTGAAATTGAGGATTTAAAGGTCGAATTGAGGTCGGAATTGGATGAAATTGATATAGTTGAACTCATAATTGAATGGGTGTTCGGAATTTGTGAGTTTGACCGGGTTCCGGAATACGGGATCCGGGTTGAATTATTTATTTATTTGATAATATTAAGTTGTTTATGGCTAGATCGAGTCGTTTGAGGTCGATTCGTGTTGGAAGGTCTTGTTGGAATATTAATTTGCACGTTTTGAGGAAAGTAACATTTCTATACTTGAAATTAAGGATATTTATCCCTAGTAACCATGTTATTTGTGATGTGTTGGGGTGACACACATGCTAGCTGACAGGCATGTGGGCGTGCACCAAGGGTAATCAAGATTTGGATTGACTTTTGTACTTGTTGCTATCGTGTTTTGTTCTACCTGTGTTTTTTCTACTTGTTAGATTAATTGATTCATGATTCATGTTAGGAATCAAATTTAGGCTATGTTTTTATTTGATTAGGATCTGATGAGGCTATTTCTATTATTTTGGATTATCTGATTTAATTATAATTATACACTCAGTCATAATTCTTTCTTTGACTATCATATCTCAGTCGCTGCTCATCATTCATTGTTACATCGCATGTTATCATTGTTTTCCCTATGTGGTATCATTTGGCAGAGTGGTGTGAGGTTGTGAACCTTTGA